TATTGTCACGGTTCTGTCTTAATTCAGGCCCGACCTGGTCGATATGAGCAGAGTATCAACACAAAGTAGCAGATCCAACCTAGAGCAAGCGTTTGGTGTGGCCGAGCAGCTTGGTGTGGCCCGACTGCTGGACCCAGAGGGTGAGTTTCAGCGCCAAACTAATGTCCTCATCCATGTTACGCCATTAGGCATTATTATATTGTCAAAAATAAAGTTTATTGCTTGCACATGTGTAAACTGTATTTAAAAACTATTTATCAGTTATTTATTGTTTACATTTAATTACATTTTTTAAGAATGGATTAAATAAAATTTGAATTTATTTATTTATTTTAAGTGGCAACGTCATCCACCATTCATCCTGCATTCATTGATTGGCTACCCCTGTTGAAAAAACCAGCATATGCTGGTTAGGCATGTTTTGAAGCATGGCTGCTGGTTTGAGCTGGTCGTGAGCTGGTTTAAGATGGTCCTTAGCTGGTCATGTGCAGGTTTAAGATGGTCCTGAGCTGGTCATGAGCTGGATTAAGCTGGTCATGTGCTGGTTTAAGCTGGTCATGTGCTGGTTTAAGATGGGTTTAAGATGGTCCTGAGCAAGGTTGTTCTTAGCTGGTCATGTGCTGGTTTAAGCTGGTCCTGAGCTGGTCATGTGCTGGTTTAAGCTGGTCCTGAGCTGGTCACGTGCTGGTTTAAGCTGGTCATGTGCTGGTTTAAGCTGGTCCTGAGCTGGTCATGTGCTGGTTTAAACTGGTCCTGAGCTGGTCATGTGCAGGTTTAAGCTGGTCCTGAGCTGGTCATGAGCTGGATTAAGCTGGTCATGTGCTGGTTTAAGCTGGTCCTGAGCTGGTCATTTGCTGGTTTAAGCTTGTCATGTGTTGCTCATGAGCTGGTTTAAGCTGGTCATGTGCTGGTTTAAGATGGTCCTTAGCTGGTCATGTGCTGGTTTAAGCTTGTCAAGTGCTGGTCATGTGCTGGTTTAAGCTGGTCCTGAGCTGGTCATGTGCTGGTTTAAGATGGTCCTTAGCTGGTCATGTGCTGGTTTAAGCTTGTGATGTGCTGGTTTAAGATGTTCCTTAGCTGGTCATGTGCTGGTTTAAGCTTGTCAAGTGCTGGTCATGTGCTGGTTTAAGCTGGTCCTGAGCTGGTCATGTGCTGGTTTAAGATGATCCTTATCTGGTCATGTGCTGGTTTAAGCTTGTCATGTGCTGGTTTAAGATGTTCCTTAGCTGGTCATGTGCTGGTTTAAGATGATCCTTATCTGGTCATGGATGGTCCTTAGCTGGTCATGTGCTGGTTTAAGATGGTCCTTAGCTGGTCATGTGCTGGTTTACGCTTGTCATGTGCTGGTTTAAGATGGTCCTTAGCTGGTCATGTGCTGGTTTAAGCTGGTCCTGAGCTGGACATGAGCTGGTTTAAGATGGTCCTTAGCTGGTCATGTGCTGGTTTAAGCTGGTCCTGAGCTGGTCATGTGCTGGTTTAAGCTTGTCATGTGCTAGTCATGAGCTGGTTTAAGCTGGTCATGTGCTGGTTTAAGATGGTCCTTAGCTGGTCATGTGCTGGTTTAAGCTGGTCCTGAGCTGATCATGTGCTGGTTTAAGATGGTCCTTAGCTGGTGATGTGCTGGTCCTAAGCTGGTCCTGAGCTGGAGCTAGTTGCTTAGGACCAGCTTAAACCAGCAGCCATGCTTGAAAACATACCTAACCAGCATATGCTAGTTTTTTCAACAGGTACCTCAGCTGCCCATACTCTTCTTTACTTTTGGACGCCCTTTCATTTTTTCACCTCTGCTCTACTTTGTTCCAAATGTCATTAGAAAACAAATTCATCATCATTATGCCACCTTTTTCTCATTAAAAACAATTAGGTTACCACCAACCATTTCACAGAAATGACACCATTGAGTGCCTTTGTTTCTTTTGGTGATGTGCGAGACTCTTGAGATGTGATTGTTGTCTCAGAGTGAGAATGAGCTGCTAGTTAACACAACTCTACTAAATGTCTGAAGTGAGCTGTCATTGATTCAGCTTTGACGTGTTGTTTTCTGGTGCAGCACAACTGGTTCATCCATACAGGGAGTCACCAGAGCTGCAGTTTGAATGTCAGATATTTCGCCCTGCAGTTTCACAGTATTTCATGGTCATTTGTAAAACAACACTGGGATCTAAGAATACTATTCAATGCCCAACACTATCCTCAGCAGACTAAACAGTGAATTCAACACTTAATAAAACTGTTAACTGTCTGTGATGGATTTTTCCTAGAGGAAATGCTACAGGAAGTATTATTTGTTGTAAAACTGTTCAATGTGTTATACATTTGCATTCTAACTAATCAAATGTTTGTCCATTCGAGCAGATGTGGACGTGTCATCTCCTGATGAGAAGTCTGTTATTACTTACGTATCAACGTTATACGACGTCTTCCCGAAAGTACCGGAGGGTATGGAGGGCATCAGTGCAAATGTAAGTACAATCACATTTAGCTATAATATCACTAACTCTGTGAAAAAGAAGTACACTTTAGCATAGTTTTAAAAAGAGTATTGTTACGGAAAAATATACTGAAGTGCACACTGAATGTAATGTTTTCAGACTTAGTTTAAACTAATATTAAATGCAATTAGCTGACCTTCAGAGTTATTTTTTTAACCATGCATCTGTACAACTTTATATGTACTTTCATAATTACTGCCAAATGACCTGACTAGCATGACAATGGTAAACAAAAAAATATTGATAAACTAAAATACACTGTCATCTTTATTCTGAAATGTGTCATGTATTTAAAAACATTTGTCATTTGTAATGAAGTTACAATTTAGTACATTTAAAATGTAATATTGAATAACACACTGTTATAATTATAATATTAAAATAATAATAAAAGTGCTTTGCACGTGCTTTAGCATGTTAGTCAAAACATTAAGGTAAGTGTACTTTAACACAAAAACCAATGTACTTTAAATTAAACCTCAATTTGACATTTTGAGGTCAAAAAACAAGTGCACTTTCTGAAATTGTACTTAAGACTTGAAATTGTGCTCTCTTTAAGTTCACTCAAGTGGCTTTTTACTAGATTAATATTATATTATCTGCAAGTACACAACAAATGCATATGTAATACAATTAAGCACACTTTTTCACAAGTGTTGCACTGAAAACAGTGCAAATACAAATCACTTAAAGGGATCTTCTGTGTTAAATGTGAGCTCTAGTAAAGCATGTCTAGTTATTTTCCGCTGTCTGTGACTGAAACACAAAAATACTCTGATTTCAGCCGTGACTCTTCTCTGAGGATACTCAGGCTGATACTACATAAACATCTCAAGGATGATATTAGCTACCTGCATGCTGTAGTCAGGTTTTAGCTGGGTGGGCTGGAGAATTTGCTTGGTCTATGCAAATAAACGTTGTGTCTACATTTTCACGTTACATAAGCATTCCGTGTTTCTTGGAAGAGTCGGAGGCTTGTTATGCAGGAAATTAAATGATTTAGAAGCTCCTTTGGAATCATTCCCAGAACATTGGATAATTCTGCTTGAGGAAGAGTATGAAGCGTGTATGCTGGTTTCCATTTAAGACACATTGACACAGCATGCTTGCAATTCTTGAATAAATGAATACGATATGAAGAAAGCCAAGAAGTGACACGTCCTATAAATGTATCCCATATTGTTGGAATCATGTCTGTGTTTAAATTTTTCTTAGAATTAAAGTGAAACATATAGATCTTAACCAAAAGTTGATGTTCCTGAAACAGGATGTGGACATTAAATGGGTTGAATACCAGAACATGTTGAAGTACCTCAGCCAGTGGATCAAACACAATGTGACTGTTATGTCAGACAGAAATTTCCCCAGCAATCCTGTGGAACTTAAGGTGAGATGCCTCACACTTTCGTATTGCTGTTAAGAATGCAAGTTCATATTACTCGGTGGGATTCCTGAATGGCTAGTTGATTTTTTTCATGCAATTATGTAAATAATGTAAATATTTTTTTAAACATATAAAATAAATCCATAAACCAGACCATATATTTATGCAAAACATAATGTTCTTTTTTTATTATTTGGAAGTAAGAAATATGGCCCAGACAGTAGCTTGTACAATTAGTGCACATGCAGGGTTTGGAGAGACATGAGGGGTGCTTTGAGGTTAATTATTCCTGGACCAGTTTTACATTCTGATTTATGAAAGGGCAGATATATCTTAAGTAATGATTTGTCAAATATCAGACATTTACAGATGTGCTTTTTCAGCGATCGGCAGCTGCTGAGACTCTCTGATAATCGCTAACTTTAAGCAGTGCTTAGTCTATTGGAGCCTGAGGCAGATTAGCAGTACTGGCTCAGAGGATTTCCATGGCAAATATGTAGCGTCCCACTCGAGAAAACTATTAAAGCCTCTTTAAAGACCTGAAGAGCAGCTCCATCTTTCTCTATGAGCAGAAGCACAGAGTGCAGGTGTTCTGCGCTCATAACTCCAGTGGCTATGTTGTCTTTTTCTCTGTCTGATGGAGAGAAATCTCTTTTTTTTGGTCAGAACTAACCCTTTTGAACTTTACAGGCACTTTATACGCAGTATCTACAGTTTAAAGAGAATGAAATACCACTGAAAGAAAATGAAAAGGCCAAAATCAAGCATCTCTACAGAATGCTAGAGGTTTGTATCTTTCGTTTCTTTTTTTGATCGTTCATATTTTTTTACCTGTACGTGACACGTGTAGGGGTGTCTTAATTTCTGCTGTATGTTGGGATGCAGGTGTGGATAGAGTTCGGTCGCATCCAGCTCCCTCAAGGGTACCATCCTAATGACGTGGAGAAGGAATGGGGCAAGCTGATCGTGGCCATGCTGGAGAGAGAGAAGAGCCTGAGGCCTGAAGTGGACAGGTATGAGATGATTTACACACGCTATATATCTCTCCATCGCTATTTCTTAATGAAAGAATATGGGTGAGGAATTCACTTGACATTTACATTCTTAATATTTTTTGTTATATCAAGCTAGCAACAATACAACATTTACAATTTTGAGGTTTTAGAGCTAGAATGTTTTTAGAAAGGCACTATTTCTTCATTTATAAAGGTCAACTCAACTCTTGTAATGTTGCACATATATATATATATATATATATATATATATATATATGGCGGGGGTGCAGAACTCAATTCCTGGAGGGTCGCAGCCCTGCAGAGTTTAGTTCCAAGTTGTGCACCCCTGATATATGGGATATTTATAATATTTTTGCTATTATTAATTCGGTTTTGAATTATTAATGATGTTTCCTCGAATCTTTAGAAAGTCCTTATATTAGTTTTACAATCATTCCTTGTCTTGTCACGTGTGGCATTAAGAAATAGAAGAGCATGAGGGCATTATGGTGTTTGAGGTGTTTTTAAAATTCAGTTGCAAAAACGTAAAGAAGAAGTTTAAACCGCAGTGATTTGATTAAAAGTGTTTTTCACTTAAAAATGTCTGCTAAAGTACTTCTGCATATCTCAGCCAAATGTACAGTGACACATTATATAAGGAATATAAGGATATAAGGAATCAAAGTTGCCGTGTTAGCTCCTGCTGCTAGATATTTTGTTTCTCCTTTGACGGCAGTTGCAAAATTTGCTGTATATTCTGATAAAATAAAATGATGTCTTCAAGCAATATGTATAATACCAATATATAGTATTTTTTAGTTTAGTAGGTGTTTTATCAGTGGAAAGTTCTTAAAAGAGGTTCTTATTTATGGAGGGTTCTTGAAAGAGTGAAATTAGCTTAAAAAAGAAATCTGGTCAGCCCTGCACCAGCCAAGCAACTGCCATTGAGATGAACATGAATGCTATTGATGGCTTACTCTGTGGAGCAGCTGGTTATATACCGCTCTCCTGAAAAGTGTAAACCCTGCACTGCTGTCAAAACACTGCTTTGTTTGTTTGAGCATCCCGACCAATTCAATATAGCAACCGATGGGGCTCAACAAATGGTGCGAGTTTGGTGGCGGGATATCTGCTCAATATATATCTGATATCTGATCAGTTGGAGATGAGGAAGTGTTCTGTAAATCTAAGAACAGTCATTGGACTCAACTATTGTGTCAGTCATTTATAAATCCATTCTTATGTAAATGGTCAAATAATGCATTGAAATGACTGTTTTGTATGTACAATTTGCACTGAAATTAGTTCTGTTTATGTTTCATGAATTGGGGCCTTTATGTTCACGAGTTCTGTTTGATGACGCTTGTTCACACATTTTTCTTTCAGTGTCTTAGTAAAAATGCATGTAGGCAATTATTTAGAGTTAAAATCACCCTTCTATGCATTTCAAATATATTAGATTGATATATAATATTTTTGTTATATTGCCAGCAGAGATTCGTTGTTTCCTGGGCAGAAATGACTGTCACACCTGTGCAGTTCGCAGTTGTGTTACTCATAATGTTTAGGTGAAAACATGGCGTTGGAAATTACCTGGAAATATACGGAAATCACTCATGCTTTTGATATTTATTAACAGTTTGTACACATGATTGTATGTGACCCTGGACCACAAAACCAGTCATAGGGGTCAATTTTTTGAAATTGAGATTTATACATTATCTGAAAGCTGAATAAATAAGCTTTCCATTGATGTATGGTTTGTTAGGATAGGACAATATTTGAAAATCTGGAATCTGAGGGTGCAAAAAAATCTAAATATTGAGAAAATCACCTTTAAAGTTGTCCAGATGAAGTTCTTAGCAATGCATATTACTAATCAAAAATGAAGTTTTGATATATTTATGGTAGGACATTTACAAAATATCTTCACGGAACATGATCTTTACTTAATATCCTAATGATTTTTGGCATAAAAGAAAAATCAATAATTTTGACCCATACAATGTAGTTTTGGCTATTGCTACAAATATACCCCAGCGACTTAAGACTGCTTTTGTGCTCCAGAGTCACATATACTAACGGCACCGCCGTCAATGCTGTGAAACGGTGAAATGGAGAAATGGCTGTTAGGCAGGGAGAGGAATGTGTTGTGTGGTGCGACACACCCCCATCTCTCTCAGCCTAACTGTCTGAACCTGTGCTGGATCATCTGTCTCACATGAAAAGCAACGCTCAGTGTCTTACCTGGGGCTGATGCTGCTGTGGGCTGGCTTTTCTGCGAGCCTATAAATAGCAGGTGTGGTCAGAAGGGCTGTGTGCGTGGGTCCGGGACTCTAGATGGCCGCTGGGCTCTCTGCTGCTGATTGGGGGGTGGTAAACGCTAGTCTGTTATGATGAACAGCAACCTGGTGTACTGCAGTAGCACCTCATCAGTGAGTGACTGCACTCTGACCAGCCTGGGCTCGGCTGAAAACCTGCTCTCCGGAGCACTCGAGCCTCTGTCCAGCACACCGCTTTATCTCAATAGCTGCTCTGTGTATGGACCCAGGTGAGGGAGCCACACATGCTTCAGGGAGGTTGTGGTTTCCTCTGCAAAATTCTGCATGAAACGTGTCCTGATGCTTGATTGGACCTGTCTTTTGTTTTCGTAGACTTGAAATGCTGCAGCAGATTGCAAACAGAGTTCAGCGAGACTGTGTAGCCGGAGAGGACAAATTAGTGTTAGCACGGACAGCTCTGCAGTCGGTGAGTTCCTTACCAATATTTTGTCTTAATTTCCAGTAATGATCAGATTTCATTTTAATTATCAGAAATGTTATTTATTTGATAAGTAAAACGTCATACCATGTAAAGACCTTTTCAGAAAATGTGCATATATACAGTGGGTACGGAAAGTATTCAGACCCCCTTAAATTTTTCACTCTTTGTTATATTGCAGCCATTTGCTAAAATCATTTAAGTTAATTTTTTTTCCTCATTAATGTACACACAGCACCCCATATTGACAGAAAAACACAGAATTGTTGACATTTTTGCAGATTTATTAAAAAAGAAAAACTGAAATATCACATGGTCCTAAGTATTCAGACCCTTTGCTCAGTATTTAGTAGAAGCACCCTTTTGATCTAATACAGCCATGAGTCTTTTTGGGAAAGATGCAACAAGTTTTTCACACCTGGATTTGGGGATCCTCTGCCATTCCTCCTTGCAGATCCTCTCCAGTTCTGTCAGGTTGGATAGTAAACGTTGGTGGACAGCCATTTTTAGGTCTCTCAAGAGATGCTCAATTGGGTTTAAGTCAGGGCCCTGGCTGGGCCATTCAAGAACAGTCACAGAGTTGTTGTGAAGCCACTCCTTCATTATTTTAGCTGTGTGCTTAGGGTCATTGTCTTGTTGGAAGATAAACCTTCGGCCCAGTCTGAGGTCCTGAGCACTCTGGAGAAAGTTTTCGTCCAGGATATCCCTGTACTTGGCCGCATTCATCTTTCCCTCGATTGCAACCAGTCGTCCTGTCCCTGCAGCTGAAAAACACCCCAACAGCATGATGCTGCCACCACCATGCTTCACTGCTGGGACTGTATTGGACAGGTGATGAGCAGTGCCTGCTTTTCTCCACACATACCGCTTAGAATTAAGGCCAAAAAGTTATATCTTGGCCTCATCCGACCAGAGAATCTTATTTCTCACCATCTCACAACCCCATGCGGGCTTTCATGTGTCTTGCACGGAGAGTCTTCCGTCGGGCCACTCTGCCATAAAGCCCCGACTGGTGGAGGGCTGCAGTGATGGTTGACTTTCTACAACTTTCTCCCACCTCCCGACTGCATCTCTGGAGCTCAGCCACAGTGATCTTTGGGTTCTTCTTTACCTCTCTCACCAAGGCTCTTCTCCCCCGATAGCTCAGTTTGGCCAGACGGCCAGCTCTAGGAAGGGTTCTGGTCATCCCAAACGTCTTCCATTTAAGGAATGGAGGCCACTGTGCTCTTGGGAACCTTAAGTGCAGCAGAAATTTTTTTTGTAACCTTGGCCAGATCTGTGCCTTGCCACAATTCTGTCTCTGAGCTCTTCAGGCAGTTCCTTTGACCTCATGATTCTCATTTGCTCTGACATGCACTGTGAGCAGTAAGGTCTTATATAGACAGGTGTGTGGCTTTACTAATCAAGTCCAATCAGTATAATCAAACAAAGCTGGACTCAAATGAAGGTGTAGAACCATCTCAAGGATGATCAGAAGAAATGGACAGCACCCGAGTTAAATATATGAGTGTCACAGCAAAGAGTCTGAATACTTAGGACCATGTGATATTTCAGTTTTTATTTTTTAATAAATCTGCAAAAATGTCAACAATTCTGTGTTTTTCTGTCAATATGGGGTGCTGTGTGTACATTAATGAGGAAAAAAATTAACTTAAATGATTTTAGCAAATGGCTGCAATATAACA